TTTCTTCAACCTTGTCATGTTTTCAGATAAACAGGGTGATTCTGATTGGTACAGCAATGCCCATGATATAAAGGTGCTGAACAGAAAATCACATATACTAGGCCAAAAATATGAATTTTATGGCAGTAAGAGCTTTCTAGTCCGCTGGTTAAATCCCTTTGGCCCAAGATTTGCTCCAGGACCTACCATCTGTGGCAAATGCTTTATGATAAAAACTTGTGAAAAATATCCCTCAATATGTTCAGACTATCTTCTTAATATATTCATTTACACACTTCCTCAAAAACCACCAGGTATAATCTGTGGTTGATGAGTTATTTTTAATGTACAAATCTTCTAGCTCCCAGTCCAATGTACTACTTTTGCTGTTTCTGTGGGGATTAAAAAGACAATGCCTCTCCCTTGAAGAGATTATAACCACTTCCTTCCTTTAACAGGTATCCTTTTATCCTTTTCCACTGAAAATACTTGGTATATTTGCCTCCCTCTTTTTCATCATTAGCAACAATAGTGAAACAATTTTCAGAAAGGGTGAACTCTTCAACTCTATTTCCAATGCCAAGTCCTTCTACACTGTTCTACCAATTATTCTCTCCACAAACACAAATGTTCGGCAAGCTAAACAAAATATGAACCCTGCTGTTATTCATGTAACCAATGAAGCTGCTACTTTTGTTTTAACAAAAGCAAATTACTTCCATAATCTCTACCTCTAGTTCATCTCATACTCATTCCCTGCTAATTACACCCTGATTACTGACCCAACTAACTACCCAAAGCAGCTGTCTTAATGATCACCAATGAGTTTCCTAAATACCATATCTAAATGTTTTTTTATTCCCCATTTCTTTTTTTTGGGGGGGGGTTGAGACAGGGTCTCACTATGTAGTTGAGACAGATGTGGAACTACTATGTAGCCCAGGCTGGTCTCAAAAATCACAGCAATCCTCCTGCCTCAGCCTCCTTTAGGTGTGTACCACTATGCCCAGCTATTCCCTATTTCTTAATGTTATTTCTGTTCTCTTAACAACTACTAGCCTCTACCTTCCTTTATAAAGTTGTGTTCAATTATATGTGTGATCTAGACCATTTTTACAATTTGTTTTGTCTCTCACTGTCATCTTCATTTTCCTACCATGTAAACAAGCATTCCATCTTCAAATTTCTTCTTTCCATAATCTGTCCCACAATAATATGATCATCTGAAGATATGACTTAAGAGATAACTTACAGAAGATAACTTTCAAGATCTATCCTGTAATTCTACTCCAGCTTTTGTAATTATTAACAATAGTTAAAAGGTACAGTATCAAGTTGTTCACATTTTCATTAAATAATCCACATAATAAATACCCATTAAAAGAAAAGACCCCACTGGCTAGAAAGTGAATAACCAAAGATACAAGAAAAAGATAAAAGGAACGAGGCACATATCCAAATACAGAATCTTTCACAGGACACTGTAAAAAGTCTGGATTTTGTTTTAAAAGTGACAAGAGACTATGGAGGTTTATTTGCCCAAGGTCACCCAGAGCCAATAAGTTATGCTGATGTAATCTGATCATAGACATGCCTGCCCCCAGAACACAGACTCTTAACTCCTTTTAACTGCTCTCTAAAAGTGAAGCAAAGCCCATTTTATGTGAGAACTGTATCCATAGCTGTGAAAATAATAATGCTATTTTCTGAGGCAAGGGTCAACCAACTATAGCCAACAAGCCAAGTCCAGCCTGCCATCTGCTTTGCAAATACTTTTCCTGTAACCCAACCGCATATATTGCTCATATATCATCTTTAGCTACTTCACACTATACTGCTGAGTTACATCACTGTGACACAGACACCCCACAAAGCTTGAAGTATTTACAATCCAGCCCCTTATAGAAAAACTCACCTATTTTTGTTCTATGCAAATGTTTTTAGGTTCATGATCTAGAAATTAGAAAGAGCAATAACTAATTCATCTATTTGCAGTGAAATGAAGGAAGACAGTCCATCTAGAAAATCATGATGATAGCAGGTACTCCAAATGTGGGCTGCAATCTAATCCAGACTCTGTACTCCATCATTTATTAAGCGAGAGAAAAAAAAAAAAAAAAACACCCCTGCTCTATTTCATCATCACGTCACTTCTTTCTCAAAGGTATTTTGCCCCCTTCCTAACAATTTATCTCCTAATTCTACCCATAGTGGCAAATATCTGTTACAATCATCCTCAAAGCCTTTTCTATGACTTTCATATTTCTATTATCAGCTCTGCCATTCTCCCTTCAGCTTGGTGTGCAACTCTGAAATAATCCTGAACGTCAAAATCTTTTGTTGCTCATTTTACAAGACTTATTTATTCAACTCACACATACATTACAAGCCAGGCTCTTCTACATTCCCACTGTCTAATCCTATTTCCAGTCCCCATTATCTTTCACTATATATTTCCAGTAACCTCAACTAATTTCCCATATCAACATTTGTAAGTGCCCCACAAATGTTCGAAGTCACAAAATATTTCTCAAACAACAAATCTCCTTTCAAAGCTATCCAACATTGTATCATATTGTATCATTACCATTCAACTAAATCCTCACCTTTGCAAAGTTCTTCCATAATGTGATTCTAATCTATACTTCTAAACTAACTTCATACTAAATTTGTTACTTACCATGCTTCTCTACTATATCATATTGTATATAACTGTACATGTAATTACACTACAACATAATGTTGTACTATATTAAGCAATAAAACTTATTAAAAAGAAATCATTCCTGCTCTTAAGAAGATGGAAATGTAGTAGGGAAAAAATTTTGTTTTTAATTCACCATGTAACAAGAACATTATCTTAGGAAAGATATTGCCATGCAGCAATAAAGAATGGTATCACTTCTTAATAATCTCTTATTCTTCTAAATAAGAGAGTAAAAAACCATAGCATAGCAAATTCTCCATCTTTGGTCACAAAGTTTAGGATGCCCACTATAGTTTACATAATGAAAACAAAATGTTCATTACTTTGAATAGACCTGAGTGCTAACGCTATTACAATAAGGCAAAAGCAGGACACTTTGGGTAGAGTATTCCTGAGACTTTATTTCCACTGAAAGACTCATAAAAATAGTATCAAAGATCCTAAGAGTAAGTCTTACAACCCAGAAGGTCTTACTTTTGTTTGTTTCAGTTTAGTTTTAGTTAGCTTAGTTTTAGATTTTTTTGTTTTGTTTTGTTTTTTTAACTTTGGGTGGGTTTATTTCTCCTGAGGTTAGAAAGCCATCCAGAGGACAGCTCTTTAAATATTCCCTTCAGAGGGAGCCTCAAACTCAACATGAGAAAATAGAGAAATCCCTAATGGTCGAGACAACATACATTTTTCATAAAGTGATTACCCTCCTGCAGCCTCAGCTTCCTAAGCCTTTCCCCCTTTCTATAATTGTTTTCCTTGTAGGTCAGGCAACAATTATCACCACGACAAGACTGAAGAGGTTCACAAGCAATATATTTTACAATACATAAGTGTAGTGTCTCTGATATCTGGTGCTTTTATCACTAATTGCACTATAAAATGCGCTATTAAACAGGGACAAACAAGATTGTAAAAATCACATAATGGACCATGACCACTTAGAAAAGCCATTCATAAATGTTACTGTACTATTTATTTTTTCTTTAATTTTCCAGTTATATAATAATTTTTCTAAATCTGTATTTCTGGAGGTTACCATTAAGACACAATGTTTGGAAATTATATAACATGCATGCTCTTGAATACCTTGTTTTAAAATCATATAGCATGTCGGACAATGTGCTATGAGCACTGAATTCTTACAGAGAGCTATCTCATTCCATAAAGAAATTATAGGCATGACAAATGCACTTAAACTGTGATTTCTCTCAAACTTTAGAATATAGGACTGAAAACATGAAGGAAAACCACAAAGATTTTACAATTTCAATTTATAAAATATACAACAGAGCCAATAAAACATTTATATATTGCGGGGGAACCACGATTAAAAAGGGATATTACTGCCAATTACTGGAGGATGTGGAACTGTGGAACAGCCTACAACATTCGTATTTCATAAGACATTAGTACTCACTAATTCTTGTTAATTGTCAAGTTTATAGACGAGTCTTTCAAATCCCTCACCATTTATTCATAAGCTTAACCACTAAAAGTTGAAAATCAAGAAAATTAAAATAAATATATTTGTACTATCCATAAATAACTCTAATGAGTACATGGATAGAACTAAAATTTTAAGTCATGATTCAAATGATAATACTAGAACTGTCTCTAGCTTTTATTTATCCATCACCAGACACAAACTAGGTCTAATAATACCACAGAATACAAATACCACAAACCAAACAGTGGCTAGCCTCTACAAAACTAAAGATAAGTAACAATTAATGAATCGGTCTTCTTCCACAGAAAATCTTCTGCTAAGTGAATGAGTAACATGCCTTCATTGTGTCAGGAAAAAAACGAGCTTAGGTCACTCACACATGTAAACCAAACCACTAGCATTTCTGTTGCTCTACAGACTTATTCTTAAATATTTTCTTAAATCCTTCAAATGCCTAGCCTTACTAAATCAAAACTTAATTTTGGAAAGGAACAAGTGATACATCATGATTATAGATTCCTTAATTGTAACCTATTTTCCTCTTTGGGGAATACTATCGAGTGTTCAATCTTTCAATAGACAGTAAAATAGAAAAGTAATATAAAGAATATTTGCTCTAATTTCCTAAATAGAAGTCACTTAATGCGGTAGAAATAATTTTAAAATACCTGAATAATAAAAATAATTTACTTTTTCAAAATACTAAATACTTACAACCCTATAATAGGTTAGATAAACTCAAATTTAAAAATAAAACACTTATTTTTCATTAGTGTCAGCTCCCAACATTTTTTCTCTAAGATGTACCAAAATTGAGTTCCTAAATGCAGTTATGTGGGGCCTAAAATACTTCATGAACCTACATACAAAACTTACCTTGTCGGATGCCTCAGAAGCCAAGAGGTTAGTTGCAAGGGTTTGTAGCTTATGATGGGCCATATTCTTTAGGGCAGCAAGACTACGTCTTGTCATAGCTTGTTTGAGATTGACTGCTGGGTGACTCAGTGAATCAACTGCAGCAGGAACTGCTTCATCACAAGCATTCAATATCTCCACCGCTGTTATTCCCATCACACAGCGATCCAATGCACCTGGGAGGCAAATATATTCACAGATATTATACAGTCCTATAAAAGTTTAAATACATTTTTTAAAGTAAACTGGCATAAAAGTTTTTTATTTTTTATCATGCCTCCCCCAAACATCTTCTTGTACAGTACTTCCTTGCTCAATAATCTTCCATGTAGATCACCTCATTCTTCTCCCTTAAGACACCTAACACAACTTCTCAATAAAGTCAAGTGCAGAGCCAAGGTTCCAACAACTTCCTTCAGGCTTTTCCACTCTCTTTGTATTTCCCAGGGGGTTTCTTTGACTGCTCCCATAGCATTACACTACTACAAACATCAGATTTGATGACCTGCTCAACATAAAAGCTATGCATAAAGATTAAACAAAAAAACCTTACTAAAATACCACCTTTTTTCTGCCTGAATAAATTCTTGATGATTTCTATCTCTAGGAAATCACCATAAAACAGGAAAATGTTGTAATTTCTCTATTACTCTACAAATCTCATTTTTGTTTTGTTCTGTTTTGCTTTTGTTTTTGGGCAGAGTACTCAACCCAGAGCTTCATGTGTGCTTGCTAAACACTGAGCAAGATTCCCAGACCCTAGTCTGCAAATTTCTTCTTTCTCTAACCACCAATATGCTTACCATATGTTTGTGAAAATAATGAGTACTTAAAACTATTTCACAGAATTTTCATTTGACCTTCCTATTTACCTAATGTATGCATTTCTTGTCTAAGAGCACAAATTTTTTCCTTCTGGATAATTGAGATTTCGTCACTTCCTTTCAGGACTCTATTCCATTATATTTCAATGAGTCATTCCCTGTTTTTGTTTGTTTTTCATCAGTTTCTCCTTTCCCTGCTCTATCTTCTCCCTAACACTAATTGCCAGGTAATATAGTATTTACTTAAAGTGTTTGACCTGCCTCTCCCCACCTAGAATTATAAACTACACAAGAACTTGTCTTAGCTACTTTGTTCGCTGTTATATACCTGACACACTGGACAGTGTCTGGCACAGAGGTGAGACTCAGTAACTATTTGCTGATTGAATAAAGACACAGTTAACAGCTTTAAACAGAGAAGTCTAAAAAGCCAACAGAATAATGTTCAAAGCATATGAACTAAGAAAAGAAATAAAAATGGAGAATAATCATATGAAAAGACATCAACCTCACTAATCAAAGAAATACATATTGAAGAAACAATGGATTACCATTTAACTCTTACAATGACAGATATTTCACATTCTGAGGAAACTAGTAATATACTTTTAACATAAAATTGATAATTTTTTTCTTTGACAAAGTGTATTATATTTAAAACTCACATTTCCTTTGACACAGAAATTCCTATTCTAAGATTTATAGTAAATAATCATATCACATACAAATTGTGAATGTGTAGATTTAAAATAGCATATATACACTTTAAAGGAACTTCATGGCTATCAAAACATTAAAAAAAGCACAGGTATTATGTGGAATAAATGCCACAATATATCGTTAAATTTTAATAAAGTAACAGTATCTAGAATATCACGGGGAAGAAGGGATCCTACAATTAAAGGAAAAAAATCATTAATACAGTGTATTTACATGGCTGAAGTATCAGGGAATTTCATATTCCTGTACATGAAGATTTGTAGTATTGATATACTACATTGTTTTAAAATATTGTGGAAAAATAAAATAATTTTGAGTGAGTTAAAATTAGATCTTGAAAATGATATTTATGCTATTCTTTCAGATATCTTAAAGTTTAACAGGAATGAATTTAGAATTTACTCTTCAAGTTCTTCATTTTTTTATTAAAGGTTGTCTATAATTATAATGGAAAGGCTTAAGTGATTCTCTCATGATTGTTATTACAAGATAGAATCACCAACAAACAAATCAGCAAAGCACAAGTAACTAATTTGCACCAAGTAACTAATTTGCTAAAAGTACCAATAAACTCAATGAGAAAAAAAATAATAATTTGCTTCCTAGTATCCTTCCTTTGAATCGAATCCCAAGTCATTAGTGAGAATGAACAAGGGCAGATATTTATTTATACTGAGTGGAGAAGTGAGGCATGTCAGTGAGGATTTTTGTTACTTTTCTGTTGTTACTGGGGCGAAATACCTGACACCCAAAGATAAACAGAGAAAGGTTTATTTGGCTAAGAGTTTGTAGAGGTTTCAGTCCATAATCAACTGGCTTCAAGGCAGAATGACAGAGCAGTAGTAGTTCGTGGTGGAGGAAGCAGCAAAAGCAACAAGCGACCGTAACAGTCTTTCTGCCCCTTTTAACTTATTCAGACTACTCAGGGTGAGGGTGACTAGCACTCACAACCTTAATACTAGTAGCCTCGAGCCCAGCCCACCATGAATCATTCACACATTGTAGATTCAGCCACCTCCAAATTAGACTAACACCACATGAGGCTCTGCAGGGATATCTAGACACAACTTATAACAGGAACGGACCCGCAGTGGCCCAGAGCTGTCTGCGACTGAGAGTGTAAAGAAAGTAGCTAAATAAGAGGGTGGCAAGAGCTTGGCACAGGGGGTTCAAGCCCCAGAAACATGTGCAAAAAGAAACAGTTGAAGCCTCAGCAGAAGAGAGGTTGTGTTCATCCCGGGAGGCAGCCCAGAAGAGAACCCAAGGGAAGACCCCAGGAGCCTGAGTATGACAGCAAACTGGCACAAGATATTGACCTAAGAGTATGAGGACATCCACACAGTAAAGGGGAATAGTCTGGGGCCCAAAAAAGGTGAAAAGAGCATCATGGGGGGGGCGCTTTACACAAAAGACTAGGTCCCAAGGCAGAAAGAGGGGAGAGGCCAGCAACAGAGTATCAGAACCGGATGGATGACAAGGATATGCGGGTAGAGAGGTGACAGCATCTACGTGTGCATGTGCTGGAAAATAAGACAGTGCTCAAAAACAATAAAAAAAAACATGTCCAGCCTGAAGGAAATCCCACTGCCCAAATCCCAAGCATCAAAATAAGAGTTTATGGTTATAATCTATTAAATAAAATATCAACCCAAAGGTCCATACTGACAAAAATAAATAAATTAAGTTTAAAGAAGAGATACAGGGCCTGAGATTTAGCTTAGCACAAGCACAAGGACCTGAGTTCGATCCCCAGTACCAAAAAATAAATAAGTAAAGAAGAGATACACACAAAGTTTCAAAGTATCTCACCTCAAAAATGGTTACTATTACAAAAGGAAAAAAAAGAATAAATTTCCAGTGAAGAATCAAGAAAATACTACCTTAATTAAGTGATCTAAATAAACACCATCGATGAAACAAAATTAAAATCATGTGTCATCTAGTAGGATGCAATGAGAAAAATGTGAGTTGTTGACAGATATATAGCCTGAAAATAATTATGAGAAAACATCACTCAAACTGAAATTGAGTAATATTTTACAAAAGAACTAGCCAGTAATATTCAAAAGTTTTAGTCTTTAAAGTAAAAGAAAAACTGAGAAACTGCTTTACATTGGAAGAGTCATAAAACTAAATACTACACATAATTCTAGTCTAGATCCTTTTTTAACAAAAAAAGACTTTAGTTAACAACTAAAGAAATGTGCAGCCAGGGATTTAGCTCACTGGTGCTGCCACCTGCCTTGCAAGTGCAAGGTCCCACGTCTGATCCCCATTACCAAAAAGAGAAAGAAAAAGGAAAAGAAATTCGCATGGGGTCTGAAGATTGCATGGTAGTGATTTATCAGTGTTAGTTGACTTTAAAAGAAAAAGCGCACACACACACACACACACACACACACACACACACACACACACACACACATATATGTATCATGGGCATTTGCACATAAAGAAGTAATCAACACAAGCCAAAAGAAAATAATGAAGATCAAGAGAAAAAAAAAAGAATTCCCAAGTGAAACCTACTAAAAATAAATTTTTTTAAATGTGGGAAGAGTGCATTCTGCCAGAATCTTTAAAGATTTTTAAAACTCAAATAAGCAGGAAGAACTTCTTCCTTCAGTCAAGATGGAATAATAAGAGATCTACTTTACACTTCTTCCTGAAACAATTTTTAAAAAAGACACTATATGAAACAATAGTTTTTCCAAACAATGTCCATCAGGCAATTAATGACAGGATCCACAAAAATGGAAAACAAACAAGGTCAGTGTGGTGACCAGCGGCCTGAAGTACACAGTGAGACGCTGTCTCCAAAAGAAAAGACTTTACCTATGCAAAAATCTGGTGCTTGATACACAATTTTTGCTATACATGCTTCATATACATTTTTAAACAGAAATATATATCAACTCATAATTCTCTGCTATGTTTAATATAATTAATTTGAAAAAGATGATCTGAATGCATGTTTAATTAATTCAGTTTAAAAATGGGAATATTAGAAAACTTGGAGAAGCAGAAACTAGGTAAGAAAAGAACAAAGTAAGCTGATAAGACCTGACATATTAATTTCAAACAATATTTGTCAAGCATTAAGACTAATAATTGTACCTATAAATAGGAATACAGCCCAGCATAGTGACACATGCCTATAATCCCAGGTATTAGAAGGCTAAGGCAAGAGCACAGTAAATTAAAGGTCAACCTCTCCTAAAAGAAAAAAGGAAAAAAAGAAGGCTTGAGATGCAGATCAGTGCTCCCTGGGTTGAACAATAGGGGGAAAAGAGTTTAATTTTGGTTATGTAGCAAAGATGATAAAAATGAGTAGATGAATACATTCTTTAGGATTGGTATGGCTAGATAAGAATATTTTGTAACCTTAATCTTACATAAAGCATTGTACTGGTTTGCCAAATAGAAAAGGTTCTGACCTTGTCAAAGGTCTATGGGAATGACAAGCACACTTACTATGAATATCAAATGTGAAGAATGAGACAGTTGATTCCTGAAGCACACGAACAACTCCAGGTAGAAGCAGCCACCACGTAGGTCACTGGCTTACCTTTAATAAATTCATTAGTAGAAGCTGAAAGGTTCAAATGGCCAAATCTTATAGCTTGTTTCTGACTAATCAACTATTTAGTGATGTGAGAGAATAATTTCTATGGCCTATAGATCACTATTAAATTACTAGTGCATCTCATAAAGATGTCTCAATAAAAGAACAAGAGTCGGGACTTCTCATTCTCTAATTAAAATTTTTATTACTAATTTCAACTTTATTTCATTAGGAAACCAACACTAAAAAAACCCTATCTATATGAAGGGGGGAAAAGACACTTAAATGTATAAAGGAAAAACACTTTAAGCATTTTAAGCTATAAAAAATTTGTATAACTCAAACAACATTAGAAAAATGCCCAGAATACATGACCAGATTTAGTGTAGTATGGCTTCATTTGTGAAAATACATTCCTAAAACATTAAGACGAAGGATCAATTATCTCCTCAGAGTTTAAATATATTTCATACATCAAACCCTGGCTGAATCTGATTTATCTGGGCTTATTTTTTATTTACTTAATAAATAAATAAATTTAATAAATAAATAATGTCAATACCTTCAGGATGTACCTTACTGACTCCCCAGGGACCTTTGTATCACTAGCTAAAGCCGGTACAGCAAAGAAAAAGAACATATGCTTATCGTAGTTGAAATCCAAAACAAATTCAGGTCCTCTATTTTTATCTTGATTTAAAAATGCCATATTAACTGACTGCCTATCCAAATCCTCCTGAAGGTTAGAAGGTAATTGTAAAATTTCAACAGTACACATTATGCTTAATATAAGTTGGATTTAATTATTCTAAAAAATTATAAGAACAACAATCTATAGTATTCCTATAGTTCAGGGATATGTGTCCTTTCCTTTCAGAAAAATTACTAGAAAAGTTATTTTGTTTTTCAAAAGATCTCATTTGTAAAACAAAACAAAAAACCTATATTTCATTCTAAACTATTAATAAAATTTTAAAAGTATATAAAATAAATATGATATAGTTTAGTATTTGCAATTTTCAAGAAAATAATACTTTCTTCTTTTATCATATTTATTTAAGCAAGTTCTGGAATAGTTTACCATACTTTTTTATCAGTTTAATATTTATGATATCTTAATTCAGCATTTTCAAATGTCATTATTACTATAGGAATTTTCTTTAATATGAATTCCCACAAAAATTATTTCTAAGTATAGGTAAAGTCATACTAACAAATTCAACAAAGTAACAGGTTAAGCAGCATGTTTAACAGTAACTGGAGTATAAATACATGCATGTATACATGCACAAAAACTTGTAAGCATACAGACATGTGCATATATGCACACATTCTCTTCAACACATTGGGGAAATATTAACTCAGTCTATTTTCCCTGTAAAGCTATAAAGTAGGAGATAGTGCTATCCTAATTTTACAGATGAGGTAATTGAGGGCAAAAGTCATGTAACTTGAAATAGGTTACAGTGCTAGCAAGTGCTAAATTCAAACCAAACCAAAGACAAACTGAGTATCTTTAGTCTGTGAGTGGGACCAAATCAGCAAATAAGACTATGCTGTTTAGTAGGCAGAATGTAATATAGAGGGACACAAAAGTAAAACACAAAATTACATATCTGGTATAACAGTAATTTTGTTTCCAAAAACATCCAGAGACAAAAAAGAAACAAATATGCTGAAATGTTAACACTTACCACTTAGCAAAAGGACTTGGGTTTGTCTCCTTCTCCTAGTACCTTTGTGCTTTTAAAATTAGACAAAAGTATGATGCTCTTTCACAACCAGACAAGAAAAAAAAGAAAGTTAAATGCAAAGAAGTCTGGCAGAGGGCCCAGGATTTAGTTCAGTGGTTCTGCCCGCCTGCCTCGAAAGCACAAGGACCCGAGTTTGATCCCCGATACCAAAAAAAAAAAAAAAAAAAAGAATGTGTATTTTTCTCGTTTTTTTTTTTTTTTGGTACTGGGGATCGAATATGGGTCCTTAAGCTTGCAAAGAGGGCAACGGAACCACTGAGTTAAATCCCCAGCCCCAAGATTCTTTCTCTTCCAAGACAGCCTATGTACACCAATTAAACTGAAGATGATAATAAATAAGATTGTTCCAGGCTATGACTATTCCAAAAAGACTTAAGAGAACTCCCTATTTCACAACAGTACAAGCAAAAATATTTATAGTCTGCAAAAAGTGCTAAACAACGAAAGGTGAAGAAAATGAAAAAATTAACAGAAATATATAATACAACTAGAAATCTAAAGAAAGTTTTAAATTACTGAGAGTGAGTTGAGATTGTACAAGCAGAATCAAATGTGTTCCCCCAAAAGCCTACTTAACTAAAACATTTAGTGACATACTTTAATGTTTCTCAGGGAAAATCATGGTAATCTGTGTATAAACATTATGTATCATTGCTTGTACTTCTATTATTTGTTCTATACTATAACCCTTGTACATAAAATTTTTGAAACTTAAAGTTCTACATGTTTTCTCTATAACTTGAAACCTTCATTTCAGTTACCACTTACTACCTGCCCAGGATTGCTTTCCTGCTGTTCAAATAAGAGGTTTTAATTTTTTTCCACTATTTTGGAACCTGAGACAAAAATAGTTCCTTCACCTTGCTCACAATTCATCTTGGGAATTATACACAAATCAATTATAACTTGCCGTCTGTATATTTGTTCTCATCTGTATTTCACCTTCAATTATACACCTTTTAAGATTGATGAACTGCTCCACGAGTATTTGGCAAAGTACAACCAATAAAATGGTACTTAAATATCTTTCAGTTTAAAGTGATATTTAGAATGAAGAGAATATTTAGAAAAAGAACTGGTTAAAATAAAAGTAGTATTTTCTTTTTACATTTCAGAGCTTTTTTTCTCTTATAAAAGACTTAATTTTTAGGAGCTCAGACATAATTATTTAACTTTCTATTTCTTCACATTTATTCTTACCAGTATCCATTTGCCAAACATACACAGAGCCATCTGAACATCCCACTACCAGGTAGTCATCAGATGGCCTCCACTTGATTATTTGAATAGGGAAAAGGTGACGAGATGCCAGCATGATGCATTTTTTCTCTCGCAAACTTAGAAGTCCCACTGAATGGTCACTGGCTACAGAGCAGATGCAGTGCTGCACTCTCGCCTGAAAAGAGAATAGTCCTTCATTATATTTAGATTAAACTTAGAATAAAAGAGATCCTGTCCTCACCAATTCAAATGAAAGTTAATTATATATTCACAACCACTGAAAACCAACCACAATATTAGGTCATGTTGCACAATCTCTTCCTATATTTATACATAAAATACACCTAATTCACATGGAAACGCCTTTTTTAAAAATTACAAAATTAATCCTAGATTAAAGACTGGGAAAGATGTCTTGGAAAATCTCCTGTTCAAACTCGAAGATGACCTTACTAAAATGATTGCTGTATGTGAGCAGGCAGAGCTGGGAAAAAATTGATCTGTTCTTATGTGCTCTCCTTCCACAGTATGAACTTTCCTTTGTTTGCTGCAAGGGCTGCTTTCCGCAGGGCTTCTGTTTGTGGTTCTGTCATTTAAACCCATGCTCTTCCCTGCACCTTTGCTCAAAAACAATACCCTCACAGTCACTCTACCACTACTGTTCCTCAGGAGTCACTGACACCTCACGCTAATGGTAGCTTTGCCATCCCTGCTTGCTTCACAGCCTGTCTATAACATTGGCAGGTTCACCACCTCACAGCAACTAGCCACACAATAGCCAATTAAACACTGCTGTGTGATTTTTGCTCATCTCTAGTTTTTGCTTTCAATTTCCTTTTAGAACAAAATGAGATAAAAATAACCAAAGAAAGATTTTCCACTAGCAACAAAATTACTGTGACAACTTAAATTTAAAACTTAACTTCTCAGTGACATAGATTATGTTTTCAAGTCATACCAAGAGAAACCATATGAAAATAGCTGTCTCAAAAGTGATTATTGCACATATGGTGGTTATGTCTAGAAGATGAGGCCCACTGCAATAGGCACTGTATATACATATGCTCCCTTCAATGGAATTTTAAAAAGAAACCTGTCATATCTCACTTTGCTGGACTTCTCCTAAGCAAAAAGACTGGATTTAGACAGAGATCAATACTCACTGATTCCCCAAGTGGGAAAGGCTCACAGGTGTTAGGTGAAAGAGGGGAGGGGAGGCAAACGTGCATGGAAAACACTGACACTATGTAGTTGTTGCTGACATTGAATTTAAGCATAAAACCTCAAAGAACTCTTCGAATGCTGATGTGAATCCAATTATTTATAAGAAGACAAAACACCATTCATCTCTGACCATGATAATCATATTAAGTTTAGTTTTAAAGTCATACACATTGGGGGAAGCTGCTATAACAGGCTCCTGTGGGGAATGGGGGACAAGGTCTCACTGTGTGGTTCAGGCTGGCCTTAAACTCACTGTAATCCTCCTGACTCAGCCTCCCAAGCACTGGGATTACAGGTGTGTGTCACTATGCCTAGCTATAACTAGTTGCTTCTATATTGTGGCTGCTAAAAAACACAGGGCTAAATTTTCTGTCTGTAACAGTGGAGGATTTGAGGCTGAATATAAACTCTCGTGGTCTCTTTTGCTCCTCTCATTTTCCCTTCAGTGAGTCCGCTGTATCTCTGTTTTACTGAATGTTTATTTTTGTGAACAACCTAACGTCAATTTTTTAATGAAATAGGGCATTGTTTTACTTTTATTTCTTGTTAGCTTTATTTGCACTTTTTTATTTTATAATAATTTATACATTATAATGAGGACAGCAGCTGTTTACTAATTGTAAAAGCTAAGAAAACTAAATTCAGATAGGTATTATAAAACTTCATCAAAACATTACATAGAATTTTTTAAGCATTTGTTAAATTTCATTTACCTTGATAAACACTCAATTGAAACATACAACATGACATGCTTCTTAAAAAGACACTGATCCCTCCCCAGCCACCATCGCTCAAGCGTCGGGAAGGTAGCCCCTCAACAACCATAAGTCCCCCCACCCCTACCCTGCGCGCACTCTCAGACCTCCTGACTGTGCCAGTCTTTGGACCCACTCTGCAGAGGCAGAGGTGGTCATCAAGGGTATTTTTCTGAGTTCCCAACTTTGAACATCTTTAAAGAAATTGCATGGGAAACCTGTAATAGAACGTTGTGGAGTTCAACCACTCAGAAGGTTGGGGAACTCAATCTGGGCCTTGCAGCCTGAGGTCAGTCAGTGTCATGGGGTTCAGCCATCAGCTAACTGAGACCAGGGGTCTTGCACCTCACTCTCTCTGAGCCATTAAATGGTAAATACACTATACTGAAATTTTGCTCACTGCAGACATGTTCTGGACTGCTTCTTGATTTCAATTTAATTCAAATGATTTAAGGGTGATAGACTAGTGACTACCACAGGTGGTCAGTGTCCAAGTTGTGCTTGATTTTAATGTGTTGCTGACTGTATCAGTTGGGATAAAGCATTGCAGTTGATTTGATGAGCTGTTTTCTCTGATGTTATGAAGATGAGAATGCCTGTGGGTCCTTACAGACACAGAAGTTAGGGTGCAACTATATCAGGAAGATTTGGGTGATAACCCAGAGATTAAACCAAGGACAGTCCGACAACAAAAATTAAAATGAGAAAACACTTAAGCAAGACACAAGGACAGGCTTCCAGTTCACAAATAGCAAACAGTAGGGCAAATGAGGATGAAAAGGCTAATAGTGAACCACCAGGCCACCCTGAACTCAAAGTACAGGAAGTAACAAAACAGATCAATCAGGCTCTAGAAAAATTCAAAACAGAAATAATTTCCCAGATAACCATAGACATAGTGAGCAAAATGGAAGTCGTGATTCGAGACTCTAGAGCAGAAACTGACAAAAAAAATAGATGAGCTCAGGACCATGATAGAAGCCATGAAGGCCCAGCATAAGAAAGAAATGGAAAAAATAAACGCCCAACATAGGAAAGAAATGGAATCCATAAAACAGATTCAAACAGATATCCAGGAGATTAAACACCCCCCATAGAAAGTGTACACAACAGAATAAAAGAATGTGAAGATAGACTCTCAGATATAGAAGATAAGATTGTAGTCAGTGACCATGAAAAGAGAGGTCTCTTAAAAACAGTAAGGGATCATGAGAAATCGATCCAACAACTCCTAGATGATGCAAAGAAGAATAACATAAGACTGATAGGAATACATGAAGTAGCAGGAGAAAATACAAATGACTTAAAAAAGCTATTCGCAGAATTAATGACAGAAAACTTCCCAAACAAAGGGGAAGAATTTGACATTCAAATAAGTTAGGCATATAGGACCCCAACTAACTACAATAAAAAAAAATCTACACCTAGACATATAATAATCAAGATCCCAGAAACCCAACAGAAGAAAAAAATACTATAAGTGGTAAGAGAAAAGAAACAAATCACATGCAAAGGAAAGCCCATCAGAATCACAGCAGACTTTTCAACACAAACCCTTAGGGAAAGGAGAGCCTGGAGTGAGATATTTCAAGTACTAAAAGAGAACAACCTCCAACCTAGACTGATGTATCCTGCAAAAGTCTCTTTCAAAAATGATGGGGAAATAAGACTCTTCCACGACAAAGAACACTTGAGATGAATACCAAACCAGCACTACAAGCAATTCTAAACAAGATCCTAGAAAAAGACAATGAAGGCAACAACACCATGAGGCCCAACAGAGCAAATCAAATAGGCAAGGAAAGAAATTAAAAGGAGAAGGTGAAAAAGTAAAAAGAGTCAACAAAAGGCCAATAACATGTCAATAATAAGTCAGTATATATCAGTTATAACCATCAAGGTCAATGGCCTCAACTCGGCAATCAAGAGAAATGGACTGGCAAAATGGAATAAGAAGCAAAATCCAACAATATGTTGTATACAAGAAACACACCTAGTGCAAAAAGAAGCCCATAGACTGAAAGTGAAAAGAGAGAAAACAATTCTCCATGTGACAGGAGCCCAGAAAAAAACAGGGGTAGCAATCTTATTTGCAGACAAAGTAAATTTCAAACCAAAACTGATTCTAGTTTTACTGATATAGGACAGTACTATGGCATACCTCTATGAATGTAAAATATCTTATACCTGCTTTATGATACATAGTAGGGGCTGTGCTTTATCAGAGCTACATTTAATGATATTACTCTAGAATGTTCTCTCTCCAGATGATGATTAAGATGCTAATAAAAAAAATGGTGCCAGGTACCACAACAGCAACAGAACTTTGCTGTTTTATGGATATTATTCTTTTCTTTGTTT